ATTGTTCGTTTCGCTTCTTTTCCGGCATTATGGGCAATATCCGCATATAGTTTACACTTTAGTGTTATCGTTGTGGGCGATAATTCGGTAGCAAAAGCATAAAAGTACCGTAACATCGTCTGAGCTTAATAAGCATTAGAACAGTGTAGTTGCATTACGTATATCCCCAGCTCGCCAAAAGCGCAAGCTAGCGCCAAGATTTAATTGCATATTTGATGGCCCTCGGCTTCAGCGCAAGGCACAACTCTCGCCCTATCCCACTCACAAACACCCCCCATACCAGACTGTCCCAATTTGACCAATTTACCACTTTTTGAAACCTACTTTCAACAAAAAACGGTAAATTCTTTTTCCATTTTCGTCATCCCGTCGTAAATATGGGATTTATCTCCTGAAAAATATAGTCCTGCAGCGACAGATCTCACGGTCTATCGGAATCCACCCTCGAAGGTTTCTAGGCCTCTTACTATGCACATAGGTTAGAAGTAATTATAAATGAACACATAAAGGATAAATATTTAGTGATTGAAAAATGTCGATGCGTTGAGTCTAAACAATCGCTATGATGTAGGATGGTTTAGAATTCTTTACAATGTTAATTTAATCAATAAAATTTCCTAAAAACAGTTATTTGCCTTCCAATTTGGTGTACCTCAACATGAACAATTACAGTCCAAGTAGTGGTGACTTAACACTCAAGACCAAGATCAAGATCAAGCTCAAGACCGAGATTACAGCTAAGTAAGTGCTGATTTTGAACAAACACTGGTTTAGAGAAGGAATCACTACAAAGCCTTTTTTTCACTTTTTTCTTTTGGTCAGTCTCATACCTTTATCATCTTGTCCAGGAGCATAATTGAGAATGCCGGGGACCGTTTTTTACTAAAACTCGCGCACCGTTCCCATTATCATTTGATTACTTTCAAATAATAGAGAACACTCACCTGAAAATAATCCCTTGCTTTGACAGTTTCACAAATCATAAGTTTGTTTTTTACTGATTTATAATCGTGTTTGTTTTTCAGCAAAAAGGTAAAATACTGTTTCTGTTGTAAATTAAATTATGACTAAAATCTGTTATTGATTTTAAGAACTTAACAATAATTGGGTAGAAAGGCATATCGATTAATATATGACGTATGTACTAGTACAATTCGTCCAAATTTAGACGCATGTGCTTATAACCTAATGTAACCTAATGATTCCAATAACGTCAAAAGATTGGTGACTGTTTATTAAAAATTTCGATTAAAAGACAACATCGTGGACATCGAAGGTAGATTTAAGTCACGGTTAACTCCTTTAATTAACGTTTTAATAATCAGTTAAACCCATAATTTTGTATTGTCAGAGAAGAAGTCATTTTGATTGTTCTGTCAGCAAACAGAAAGCGTTCTTCTGCTGAACGAATTAAAATTCGTAAAGTCATTTTAAGTCATACCTGCTCCACGTCTCTTTTTGCTACTTATTTTTCCATGTTGAACAACACAAAATTCAAACAGCAACCTTCACATCTTTGGGAAACTTATAGAATTCCAGCAGATGTGTCGGATAATTTCAGTATGCGAAAACGCGAGATCTGTAAATTTTACTCACACACTAAAAGCAATCCCTTAACAACTACAGTAAATACAGACACTTTAACTGAACGTATTCTTCCGACGATAAAATTTGACCTCATTTTGGTCATAATATACCTAATACCTATAACAACAGAATTATTGTGCAGTTACCTGCTGCTCGAAATGCTGTTGGCACATTTCCCTTCGAGTTTTATCATAAACGATTATCTACGTGAACAAGGCGATTGTTACGTGGAAATAACTTTTTAAAAAAATCGACTTCCACAGTACAACTTCCTTGACATTTGTCACGCAAGCAGGGCTATACTCTCTACAACCGTTGTGAACGCCGTCGACTGGCAATACCATCCACACTTTTTTATTTCAGGCAAAGTTGGCTCGTGTGAGAGAGGACGAGGAAACGGGAACGTAAAGGGTAAATGCAAATGTGGATGTTTGTGTATTATGTGTTTGCAGGGATTGATTTATAAAGTGAGAACGTATATCAGAGAGTTTACAGGATCGTTTAACTTATTCAAAAGCGCTAACGCGTGATTCTCTTGAATTTATTTCGCAGGAATGGGGAATTCGAGTGAGTCCTCCGAAAGAGATACATAACACCCCACTACGCACTACGAGAGATCGACTGGAACCCGGAATCTTTTCACGCGCCAATGTTTTTATCGCTTTTTAAACCTGGGGCGGAGACGCAAACCAGAAAAGGGTCGCGGTCGTCAAAATGCATAATACATTAGCTGACTTTAAGGTTAAAGCTTCCAGTTGAATTATCTGTTTATACATATACGTATGTAGCATGATATATGGTTACAAACGATTAGTGGTGTAATCCAAAAGTTTATCGACCTTACAAACGTTAACAGTCCTGCAGGATATTACGGTGGACGTCTCCCAAAAAATTCGTAACGGAGAGGACGGACCAAGAGTACTTGATCTCGCTCCAACCCAAGAACTGGCCCAGCAAATTCAAAAAATTGCTAACGAGTTCGGAACTCTCTTACACCTGTAACACTTACATCTTTGGGGTGCTCCAAAAGGGCCCCAGACGCGCGATCTTAAACGTGGCGTCGAAATCATTATCACCAACCAACTCCTGGAAGACTGATAGACTTTTTAGAGAGAGGAACCACGTCTTTGAAACGATCTTATCTGATTCTGGATGAGGCAGATAGGATCGAGCCCCAAATCCGAAAAATCTTGCAACATGTCCATCCGAATCGTCAGGCTCTTATGTGATCTGAAACTTGGCTCAAGGAGGTCAAAAAACCTGCATCTGACATCCTGAGTAACTACATACACATAAACTTCGGTTCCATGGAATCGAAATGCTGAGCTGATGTACTTCAACTTGCTGGTTTATAAAAATCCTGGTAATTCTCGATGACACTGTTGTTTGTAGTCCGGCTCGAAGGACCACTGTTTGCCGTGAAATTAGGAGCAGTATTTTCTCGAAATGTTGGTTTTAACGGAGCGAAGGAAACTCGATATAAAACACTATATGTATATAGACTATTTACAAATGAATTATTAACTATAAAATAACGGATTACAATTACAGGCACAACGAAGAAAATATGAATTAAAAACGCAAGTTAACAAGAAGAAGGACAAAGTGTAACTAAATCTAAGTTATGTGACAAAATCAAAAATTGTTCTGGTGCCACCACCAATACCTGGTATGGAACAAAAGAATACGAGTCAGAAGTCAATAAAGGGAACAACCCAACAAGGTATGACTCTGCCTGTAGCTATGAAATTCCTGTAACCTGCATACGATTGAAGAACATCGATAATAAAATTAACAAAGGTGGTTGCCGTCGAAAACCTTCACAGAACCTGACCATTGGTACCAAATCGGCCTATCACTGTTTGCAAAAGAATATTCAAGAGATATTTGACCACCTTGTATGCATTTGTAATTATAAATAAATAATGAATGTAATCGAGCGACTCGAAAGTGATTCAAGGTCAAAGTAGGACAGGTACACTTTTGTTTAAGATTAGTATTAAATGTGCCAGTATTTTATTATTAAAAGTAAAACAAAAGTCAGAAACGATGTGTAAATATCTACTTATTTATCTACTGTGATCTGTTTACAATTGATTTGAACGATATTACGAACCATGTTTTGATGAACTGAATGTTATTTATAGTTTTAATCTATTTCCCGATTTTCCCAGAATTTGTGTGAACAAAACCAAGAGTATTCTGCAATCCTTAGAAATCTAAAAGGTAGAGAAGTCCTAGGGCATATAAAAATATTGATTCCCAGTTACATATCTATATCTGCGACCCTTGTCTCAGTGAAGCTAGCCAAAGGGAATGAAACAATTTTATAATGACTTTTCTTGAAAATACTTTATTATCGTTTATCTTAGTTTATAGAAAGAAAAACGAAATCATTTAATAAAAGATTTTTATTCAGTACCAGTAGCATAAAGAGAATTGCGAACACACATTAGAATAACGAAGCGTTTGTTTAAGGGAATACACAAATATTAAAACATACATCAACTCTCATTATTATTACCATTCGTTTATTAGAATACTAATCAATCTAAATTTTCAAAATGATTATATACCCTGTTCATTCTCCTCTGCCTTTTAAAACCAAATTAAAAAGATTTCAGTTTGGATGATATAGAAAATTCATACCTAGACATGGTGAACAAAATCCATAGAAATTTGCTTCTAATTATGAGTTCATTAATGCTTGACAACGTTCTTTTGTCATTAAAGATATCGACCCGCTAAACTGGATCCACGATATACCACGGTATATGCGATGGGCAAGTTCTTGATCAGTCACCTGTCGAAATCGTCAGGCGTGGATCACGGCGTGCTGATGAAATCCAGAGAAATTAAAATGAAAATCTACGTCTGACTATATCGATAGATCACTAACCAATAACGTTCACCCTCGACTCTGGTCATCACCTTCTCGCAGTGAGAGGCTAAAGGGTCCCCAGCTGTTGGCATTCGAACGCATTGTAAGTCCAGCACAGGCATGATAGGCTGATGTGAGGGAAGAACCCTCTCCTAGTGACACAGCTTGCCCATCGAAAAAAGGCTCTTTCGCTGCGATCACCGGCACCATTAATGGCGCCGAAAGGTCAGCGGTTTTCTGGGTGTGGTAAACTAGTAGGCGTTCTCTCGAAAATGTGTACGGCGTGCTGAAGAGGGTCAAATGGTTCGAAATCGCGAAAAACCTCGGGTGACAATTTCAATAAATCAGTGGCCAAAAATTCACCGAAGCAACTGTTAACAGTTATGTAACTATCTCCAATTTATTTCAACATGTGTTAAAAAATACAGAAGCAAAAATTCAAACAGTTTATTAAACACCTAAAAAGACAATTAACTAATAAACAACTTCATTATCAACACTAAATATCATTGGAGATTATGGGTAGATACATTTTCAACACCTTAACGCCTCAGTTAATACCTCTGCAACTTTCTTTTTGTATATCGACAAAACGTTTTCAAAACAATTAAACGCGTTACTCCGTACTTTGAGACTGCTCATGTGATTATCTTTGTGCTTTCTGTAAAAATAACGGAAAAAAATACCGTGAGTTATTCGTTTATATTTATATCATTATGCCCGCATATAAGCTACAGAACAAAGCAGCGGCTCACTCAACTTCATTCAGTAATTACAATTGCAAAAGCTTCAAAGCGTAAGGGTTAATGCGATAAAAACTAGTAAATAAGGGCACCTGGGTACCACCTTTTGACGAAAGTTAATAATGCACACTTTCACTCGATTTTAATTTGAGTGTGAAAAACCTCACCAATTAGTTCCATTACAAGGAACTATTTTCACATTTTTCGTTACGTACTCTACATTAGAGTATGGATGAAAACGCAATTTCATCCCTATTTAAACTTAACAAATGATTACACTAATGTCAACCAAATAATGGACGTGTTCTTTTGTTTTTTTTACATTTACACCTTCAATATTATAGAGGATACAAAGATGAATCGACAAAATTCTAAAATTAAGTTCAAATAAAATTTAATCTTTCGATTCCGTCAGTATAGTACCCTAAACCTTAGGTAATAACGCATCCTAGCCGAAACTATTGTTGAATATTGGAATTCGTCAAAAACATAAATAATTAATACTGCCATAATATGTTATTGATCTGCAAATGATATAGCAGTATTAGCATCTAGCAAGGAGTTAGAGATAACTTTAAATAAAATGGAAGCTATATTGATAAAACAGTAGTGTACGAAAATAAATAAAAGTAAAACAAAAATATTGGTATGCAAGGGAAGAAATAGTAGAAAAGGAGCGTATATAAAGATAGGAGAGATTTTAGGTATCTAGGAAGTCAGATAAGTCAGGACGGAAGGAGTAATAGGGATATAAAGTAGAGGATAGCGCAGGGTCGAGTCGCCTTCAATAAAAAGAAGTCACTTCTGTGCTCGCGAACGGTTTATTTAGAAATTCGAAAAAGGTTGTTAAAAGTGTATGTTTGGAACACGGCGCTGTCCGGTTGCGAAACATGAACGGTAGGCGACGAATGATGAGGATACCGTGTATAGAAAAGTTTAGAAATGAAGAAAAATTAGAAAGAATAGGAGAGCAGAGGAGTTTATGAAAGTCAATAAGAAATAGGCGAGATTTGTTGGTAGGACACCTACCCAGGCATGAAGGTCTAGTCAGAGACATATTAGAGGCAGAAACGGGAATTAGGAGGGGAAGAGGTAGGCATAGTTTAGATTACTGTTCACAAATAGTTAAGGATGTGGGCTGTTCTAGTTTTAGGGAAATGCGAAGTTTAGCTCAGGATAGGAAAGAGTGCAAGTACGTAACCAACCAGCCTTAGGACTGACATCATGCCTAAGAAGGTGTCCTACCAACCTATCTCGCCTATTTTTTATTGACTTCCATAGAGTCCTTTGTTCTCCTATTCTTTCTAATACCTCTCCATTTCTAACCTTCTCTATCCACGGTATCCACTGTCCATGTTTTGCTCTCGTACAGCGCCGCGCTCCAAACATACACCTTTAATAATCTTTACCGAATTTCTAAATTAATCGTTCGCAAGCATAGAAGTAACTTCTTTTTATTGAAGGCTACTCGACCCTGCGCGATACTCTGCTTTAGATCTCTACTACTACTTCCGTCCTGACTTATCTGACTTCCTAGATACCTAAAATCAGCCACGTCTTCTAATCTTTCGTCCACCATCTTTATATTCGCTCTGTCCCTCTTTTTTTCCCTTGCATACCAGTATTTTTGTTTTACATTTATTTATTTTCATACAATACTGTTTTATCAATACCGCTCAATATTGGAGATTATTATTCTTTTGATTGTTTAAAATGGAGTTGTGATAAGAAAGAAGTGCTTTTTTCGGCACACCATGATAAATGTAGTATAAAATTGATAGTTGTTAGTAACCCATTGCCTATTTATCAAAATGGTAGAGCAAGAATTCTATTGAACTCTTTAGGAACTTCGAGAAAAAGGATTAAAATAGCAGAGATTGTCTTTAAAAGCAATCCCATTTCACGTTCTATAGAAACCCAATGCAGAGAAGAAAGAAAAAGCCCCTTTATTCTAAATTAGATTTTCAATCTGACGCCCCCATAACTTATTTTTTCTATTTTACGAAAGCAAAGCGATCCTTCCCAACTGCATAATACGATATTTCACCTTATGGTTTCCAAAAGCGTTCCGGTAAGTGGTTCGACGTCGTTATTCATGACCTTCCTGTAGCAAGAGAACTGTTGGAAACCGGTCTTTTGCATGCAATCGTCAAGGGAATCGAGGATAGCGTGTCCTTTCGACACAGCCTTATTTGTTTCCGCCACAAATTGACTCGAACTGTTTCGAATCTCCGATCCAGCTTGACTTATGCACCTGTCCAGGAATCGATCTCCTTCGGTGACGATCTTTTGTATTTTCGTCTTGGAATCGCTCGTACATAAAGTGTTCTCCGATACAAGGCAAGTCAGCTCTATAAATGATGATGTCATGTCAATTAATTGTGATTGAATAATCCTCGCCCTACAATGTAGATATTTGTGTGAGGTGTGGAGAATGAGTAATGAAAGGTGGTCCAAAGTATGTCTACTAGATGAAGTACAGTCAATTCTGAATAGCAGCCTTTCAAAATGGGGTAAAGGTATGAGAAAACTGATCTCGGATGAACGTGAGTGAAGTATTTTGAATGATATGGGACAGTTAAAATAGAAGGGATGTTAAAACTTGGTCTAGACAGCCTACAAAAGAATAATAAAGGACAAGAGAATAAGTGGGAAGTAATTGTACGCTCTACGTATAATAAATAATAAGCGTTATACGAATAATATGCCGACAGGTGAGGACGCAACATAAATAAATAAAAGAAAACCTCTAGACAAAGATCAGACGTGGAAACGTAGGCGAAACGGGGACAACAGCTTTCGATAAGTAGATATGTAGGATGTGCTATTGGGAAAATGAGACTACAGGGAATATTTATGTGTTTTAAAGAGAGAATAAGAAATCAAAAGCTATACTTTATTTACTCTCTCTAGCGATGTGCGCCTTCCAATGTCTTGGATGCGCGCTGGCAGAATCGTAGGTATGGAGAAAAAAGCTCATTATACTCTCGACTCTTGTTCATTAAACATACTTTTTCATACAGTACCTGCCAAAAGTTTTGTTCAATCAGGAATAGTAGTGCGAGTCGAAAACAAGCGTTAAAGCCTTTAATATGTCTTCAAATATAAATAAACATCTCGTTGATATTTTCAGTAGTAAATGGTATCAATAACAACACATTTGAGTAATGCAATTGTAGTGGATAAAGTGGTCAATTTTTCCGCGCAGTACTGTACCGGTTATACGCTCCTCACCGGTTAAGAGTTTGGCCAAGAGTTGTCTCCTTCTATTTCTGGCCTAGTGCTGTTCTTTTCTAGTTTGCGCCGGTCAAACTGAAGGTCACATTGCTACAGAAACTAAACGAAGTATAGAAACTGAATCTTTACTAATGAGTAGAGAAGTGAAAGAGATGATCTGGGTACGGAAAATTTGCTAACGAAAACTTTAAGGGTTAAATTAATATCAAAGATATGTGATTTTTTTCGACCAGATTGAAGTGAAAGGGATGATCTGGATATAGAAAATTTCGTAACGGAGACTTTAATGGGTAACCTAATACCGAAGACAGGTGATTTTTTTCGACCAGGTTAAAGTGAAAGGGATAAAAGAAAATTTCGTATCGAACATTTTCAGTGGTAACTTAATACCAGAAATGCCTTTGAATTTTTTGAGTCATTTTGAGATGTAGGGGATGCTCTCTATACAGAAAATTTGCTTACAGAAACTTTAAGGGATAAGTAAATAGCAAGAATAAATGATTTTTTCAACCAGATTATGCTGATAAAGATGATCTAGATACAGAAAATAGAAACAAAAAAAAATGCCTAAGTTGTATAATGTATGATCAAAATTTAAAGAAAATGCAAATTGTAANGCAGAAGTCCCATATAGGGAAATTAAGGACGGTTGCTGTAAGTAGAATGAAATATTTACTGAAATGTTTAGTATTAATTATGTAACGGCAACGGGTAGGAAGAAGCTGGGAATCCGGCGGAAAAGTGTGCCGACGACGTCTCCGACGTGGAGCGGTTTGGCGACAACATCCACTACAAAAACGGCGATCCCAGCAGAAAATGAAGGCCTGGTGAAAAAAAGACTTGTGTCTCGAACGCGCCCCGTCGGAGCCACGAACAGAGCCGAAAACGAAGATCATACATCGTACCTATTGTCATTACATCATATATATTGTTATGTTCGTGGGTTTAACAAATTAACTTTTAAGAAGAAAACTATTTATTTACACTAATTACTATTAAACTTAAAAACACTATTAAATTATTACTACTTCGGTAATTATTCTATTTATTTACACTACTGTTACTATTCACTGTTCTATTTATTTCACTTCTATCACTTTCAATTTATCCCTTGATTCACCTCTGCAACGGTCAATTTATTTCTACTCCACTTCGGCGATCGTCTCTTCCTTTTTATACTCTCTTGCCTCCTTTCGGGAACGTTCTTCAGCCGTCCAGAGAAGTCTCGTTTTCTTTGAACGCAGGTACGACACACACGTTTACAGATACGGCGCACATGAAGAAAAGCGTCCGCGGCTAGTCTGCGAATCGATAAGCCGCTCACACACACGTATGCCCGATCGCACACAATCACGCTTGTGGTCGCTACAATAACTATTATTTACCTACATTCACTTGAACAAGAGTTAAAAACAAATTATATGAGTGTATTCTAAGCAATTATAAATTTTTATGCAATGTACTTTTTAAAAAAAAACATTTCTGGGATGGTACTAGGTTACGTGATTAATAATTGTATAAAACGTTTGGAATATCTAATGTTGATGTATAATAATGCTACCTGAGTAAAAGCTATTCTATTAAACAATTTAATTTTTTTTGTATGATGATTTCTGTGTGTCTTATTTTGCCTAGGTCTCCCCTACTACACAAAATAAAAATACGATGTATTTTGTAG